ATCTTGGGACATGTTTTCATTTTAATTAACTTTCGTTATAAACCAAATTTGAAAAAGAGAAAAATTTCCCTGAAACAGACAAAAACCGCCTACAAGATCGTAACGGGCAAAAAAAAAAAAAACTTTCACTTTTGTATATCGATGTTTTTATGCATTTTTAATTTTCTATTCAGAGAAAAAATTGCATTGAATTAAATTTTGTTTTTGCAACATGGAAAAACAATATTTCTAACAAAAAAAAAAAAGAAATAAAAAAAGAAAAGGGGACAAGATTGAGATTGGTGGTTAAATTACAAAAAATACCCCCCAAAAAACTAGTATTGTTTGCTTTACAATTGCAACAAATACAGAGAATAATAATGAAACTTCTGTTGGAAATTTATTTTTAAACCTGAGTAAAGATCACTTTATGACCGGGTCAGCCATCACCTTAAAACCTCAACAAGTCTCTTCTTCAGGATATAGGTGATTATTACAGAAACTGTAGTGGTGTGATTTTTTTTTTAACGAAAACTCATCGCTTTCTCCACTGTTCTGAGAATTCAAAATCAAAACTCAAAAGTGTCTTTCATAGACTGGTTACCAACCAAGGTCTGGGCATTGCTATATTTATGTCTGAGAGAAGGAAGAGAGTCGAGTAAATTTAAAAAGTAAGAACTCCCCAGCATAATTAGAAAAAGAAAAAATGTGTTTATGATAAACTCAGTTTTTCTTTTTTCCATTTTTATCGGCTTCGCTTGTGTCCCAAGAATTTTTAACCAAACAAACCATTGATTTCTTGTAGTCAAGATTATTGTACGATTAATTAGGCAAACTACTATTAATCGAGAAGCTAGAACTCGCAATCCTCGTTTTCATTTTATTTTAATGAACTTTAGATTGCATACACAGGATTGCATCAGATTTTCTCTGTAAGATTGTATAGTGCAAGAAAAATTAACAGAAAATATCTGCTATGATCATGTATTATTTCTTTTGCTGGAATAAAAATACTCAAGTAAGCAACAATCTATTCTTTGGGGATAAATTATGGTTAATAAAATATTGTAAATAAGAAAAAATAATAATTGGATAATATGGGAAATATGAAATTTATTTATTTATCAATAAAAAAAAGGAAACTAGGAAAAGAAAAGGATTGCATTTATTTTAGTTTTTGAGCTGCAACAACAAAAATAACAATAATCATCATCATCATGTTGTGACCAGTATTTTTAGTAATAATTTTAATACTTTTTTTCTAAATAACTTGCAAATTTTTACATTGATTAGAAGTAATGACAAGATATGTTCCTGTCAGATATCAAGTATATATTTATTTACACAACCTACTTAAAATTTTAAAACATTTTTTATGTTACTATTTATAATAATAATAAAAAAAACACTAATTTATATTGTCAGTACATGGACTATTTAAATAACAGAAAACCAGAAGACATTGTTTTTCAATTCTTTCATAAAACATATTTTGTGATGCTCTTCAAAAGCCACATTCTATCATGTAAGGTAAGAAGAAGACTATTTTCTACATTCATTGCACAGTAACTACACATTTCTTCATTAATAAAATTATTCTAATACTCAGCAAAATGTCTGTATTATTAGTCATGTACATTGTTCATAATAACTTGGAATTTTATCATAAGCATTGTTCATGATAGACACTTATTTTCTTAAAAGGAATTTTATTGGAATGTATTCAAATATCTGTATTTTACATTATCTGTGCATTACTGTGTTGTAGTGTTTAAACTTGAGGCTCATTTTCTTTTCTTTATATTTATTCTTGACTAGCTTGTGTTGTAAAATATAAAGTTTAAATAAAAATATTATTGTTAAATTCTTTTTACTCAACCGCATCATATCTTCAGATTATTTAAGTTGCAGTCGTTTGAAATTGAAGAAATATTTTTTCTTTGAAATGAGTCTTAAGTTGATATATGATCCCTACTGTAACCTTTCACTAACCTTCCTTAACCCTCAATACATCTTGCCATTTCATTTAAATCCAACTTTGGCTGGAAACGTTAGAACAGTTCAATATATGTACTTATTTATTAACTGCCACATATTTTTGTTAATTGATCATAATCAATTAACAGTAACACAATAATGGTAGCAAAAGCGAAATAATAATAAATTAATAGTACCCTACCAATTTAACTTTTTAACATTGCTAAAAAAAACCACAAAAAAATAAGAATTGTTACAATTAATTATTAAACTCAAATGAGTAAGAAAATTAATTTTTTTTAACTGACAAATTTTAAAAATCATGTGACTAAAAAAATAATAATGGTTTTACTTTTATGATTTTTTTTATCTTTTTGTTCAAATTCACTTATTCCTTTATATTGGAACAACAAAAATAATGGAATTGGCTTCCAGGTCTTAATCACATGAAAATCACTGAAAAAAACATTTATTTCGAGCAAGATTTTTTATTTTTATTAAACTGCTAAACTACCAACGGCAATTGACAATGATATTGGAAAAAGAAAAAATTAACATTTTCCAAAAACGAATCGTTTTTTATGGAATAAATCAAAATTAAAGTTAGTATTTATTAGTTAAGTTACTTATTCTGTTTTACTTTTTGTTCTCGTGTTTGTCAATTAAAAATAGTGTTAGTAAAACTCAAAACTTATTACTTAGAACTTGAGTTATTCAAGAAAATATTCAAGTTTCGCAATAAATTAAATTTCTTTATAAATTTCTAGAAAAGTTTTAATAAATAGAGTCTTTATTTTTATTAGTTTCAATTCAACTGAAAAACGATTTATCAGATGCTATTGACTTGACATTTGATATTATTTTGAGAAACTTGTTTTTTTTTGGGGGGGATTTTTGTTAAATTGTCAAATTACTTGACTCCCCACTAAAATTATGGTTTCAATGTTACTTGTTAGTTTTGTTTTTGGTAAATAAAATAACTTACAGAAAGTTCTGCAATATTTCGTGTTGTTCTGTAAAGTTTTATAACTTTCCTCGGTTCATGGGACACACAAATCCTTTTTCTTTCACAAAACTGGGCTAAGCTTTTTGCATAAAAAATAAAAAAGTTTACCCACACGAATAAAAATATTGCTAGTTCACACTAACGAAATTATTACTTACTCTTTACACCACGCTTAAAATTAAAAAATGTAATTATATTGTAATTTATTGACAAATATTGGCATCAGATAAAAAGAATGAATTATTTTTTTTTACTCTACTCAACTGTACATTATCATTATTTATTTTTTACACACACAAGTTTCGTTTCTAACATAAATTTTCATGAAAAATAAAATAAATAAAAATAGGAGATATTCTGAACAACCTGTTTAGACTTTTTAGTTTATAAGAAACGATTAATAATATAAAGGGCAGTAGTAATCGTTACACAGTTGTGCAGTCAACTGACCACTTTTCTTTTAAAACAGTCGGCAAGAAAATATATCGGGTTGCTTACAATCTCCGAAATAAAACAAAAACGGTAATGCTGTCAAATGTTCTAAATAAGGCATAATCACAGTAATAATATAATTTCAACCAGAAGGAACGGCACATGTTTACATAATTGCGCTACATTCGTACAAACAGGCGAAGCAAAAGCATTGAAAACGTGCATCAGATGTTCATTGTTCATTCATAAAATCCAGAATGAATTTTTAAAATTGGCTGCTTTACGTTTTCGTTAGTGTTCAACAGTGACGGCGAACTGAAGCTATCTAGTTTTATTTGAAATATAGAATCACTAGCATTTATTTTCTAACTCCCTCTCTAATAAAAAATATAGTGTGACTGATCGAACTAATTTGTGATCATAGAACTGAGTAGCAAAAAAAAAAAAAAAAACGACAAATGTTGAGAATTCCGTGAAGATCGAACTCATGATTAAGTTATTGGTCCACCCACATTAAAGTGCCTCGTCAAACTCACTAACTTACTGTGCTCCTACAATGAATGCTCGTTTTTAAACCCAACTACCGTATTTAATTTTCAAGTTTTTGCTTTAGTTTAGTTTTAGATTAACTTAATTTTTTTAAATTCTCCTATATCTAAAATACTAAAAAAACAGAAAAACAATACATTTTATTTTATTTTAATAAAGAAAAAAAAATTTCTTTGTATTTTTAAATAATTAAATTTTAACAAAATCTGCAGATTAAATTTTAAATTAAAACGACCCCCCCAAAAAACTAAACAAAAAAAGAAAACAAACCACACAATAACGTGAAAGCAAGGATAGAAAGATAAAGAACAGTGGACGAAATGGATGAAGAAAGAAACATACATCATAAGGGTCATTTAAAAAACAGAGGGGTTTCTATTTGTTGACCTAGTGCCATTTTTTTTTTAATATCTTATCTTTATTGCCATCGGGGGCAATAACATAAAAAAAACAAAACAAAACATTAACTTTAGAACCTGAAACAATCACCCAAGAGGCCGATTCTTAAACTAATAAAACAAAAAAAGTAAAATATTTCGGTTTATTGCCATTAGCTGTTTTTTTTTTTATAAATTATTTCATCTTTTTAGTCTTCAAAAATTGTGCAATCATTTCTAGAGAGTTAAAAAAAAAAAAGATTTGTGATTGCCGTTGATATTTCTTTCTCTCTCTGTCACATTTTGTTATTTTCTGCAGGAATAACAATACAACTTACTATTTTATTATTTTGTTTGTACGGCATTTTAACAACGTTGATAAATGCATTCAGAAAGTTATAAATGAAATGTTTAACAAAATTGAAAGTATGGATAGAAGCAGTAGTAAACAAAGAATGTTAAATGTTTAGGAATGCGATCGTGGAACTCGAAGTGTCCAGAAAAAAAAAAAAAAAACGGATTGCGCCCCCGCCCACGAGTGCGTGGAATGAGTCAATCGTCGAATTCTTCCTTCTCTTTTTAAACACATGCACGCTCGCATAATGCACAGAAGATGAACATGACAAAGAAGAAAAATGTCGTTTTGTTGACAAAAAGATGCACTGGCTTTCTTTACTTACCTGAGACACAGACAGCAGGTTCTGAATATCGTCTGCTGGCTTCAGGTTGCATAGAAATCCTCCTCCTAGGTACTACAACCATGCGGCAGATCGTGTCCCACCGTCAACTGAAGAAATAATAATAATGTTCATTCAAAGTACTACTCCTCATTTGAACCATACCCTCACACAGACACGCACGACTCTGCCCAAGTAGTGTTGTGAAACTTCAGTCTTTCTTGTCACTCGTTCGTTCTTAACTTCTTTGAGTAGCGTTTCTTTCTTTCTATCTATATCTATCACTCCTGCTGCTTAAACAAGCTCTTTGGATCTGACTACTACCGAATCAGATCTTCACTGCACGTCTTCTGACACAATTCTCTCTCTCTTTGTATGTAGACGTGATTTAGGGCTCATCATCATGTCAATAGCAATATGCGCGGCGACTGTGGGTTGTACTACCTAATAAGTTATACTGTTATAATCTTTGGATACCACTATAGTTACGCTTTTGTTTTTCTACATTCCTACTACAACTACATGTATTTATTTGTAATAGTACTTTTACGATTCTACAGAGAGCAGCAGTTGCGTATAAGTTTCTACTGCTGAATATCAAGGAATGCACAAACTTCTCTGGAGCTTCTGATTCCAAGAAAGTGTGATTGACCTATTTTTTTTGGTACGGATGGCAAGTTGAGCTACAAAAAATTCCAATCCAATTTTGCTTGCTTTTATCCAGTGGCTTAATGAAGATATTCACGTTTTAATCATAATTAAGACATAAGAAGCTGAACATAGGATGATGTCAGTATTCCTTAAATCGAATTTCCGTATCCAAGACATTTTAGCTAATTTTCATTTTCCTTCACTTCATGCAGTAGGGTTAACGGTTTCTTTTAAGGATAATGTATTAAAAAGGAATTTATAATTTGATACAAAAAAATCTTACGGAAAAAATATTTCAAACAAATGTTTGAGGTAACATTTATATGGGCACGCAACAAAGACAGACGACACGAGCAGAATTTAAGAACAAACGATAAATTTATTGTTAACACACACACACACAAATAATGAATGAATTATACAAATTAAGTGCATTGTGTGTCAAATGATGGCCAATAACATGTAAATTATCAATGTAAATGAAATATACCTTAAAAATTATACTGTTGCATAAGGTCCTCAGAAAAGAAAACTAGATGTAGAAAAGGAGAAAATCCTTCTCTGAATAGTTTTCAAAGAATTGGTACAATTTTCGAAGCAAAGTTCATGGTAACAGCGAAGAATAGAACAATCACATCAGCCGAAGAATTTTCCTTGATGTGGGAGTGACTTTGATATTCCTTTCAATTCTCTTCTGGTGGTTGTTATATTTCTTCTGTATTGTTTTTATTTGTGGATCGGGGCGATCTGGGTTCTAGCAGCAGATATTTATCGACTCTTTGAATTGAATCTATGACCCCAGGTAGGTTCCAAATTCATTTCTCGGAATTTAGAGGGAAACCTTTTGAATGGTTCTGAAAGAAAAACAAACGCAGATGTTTTCCAACAAATCAAAATGTACCAAAATTATTTCTGAAATTCAAAAATTAAGCAAGAGCCCAACGCAAGGTCTGCTTAAATCTCAGAAAAGCAGACGACACACGCTGAAGGAGGCTTAAATTTCTTATAGTGTCGCCTTGACTCAAGGATATAAACTGGAAAAATAAAGTAGTGGGATTATGGATATATTTACTTTCAAGATGGGATGTTAAGTTTTATTATCAGATTAACTTTGATGCCTTTACATTTTCTACATAAAATGAGAAGATATAAAGAGGCACCTGACATTCCTACACGGTTAAGGAAAACAGCAAAGTCTAGAAATGTCGTCATATGTTGCTGAACGACGTTAACTGTTAATGTCAATGGTTTTTAAGCTCGGAAGCCATGCCTGATTCCAAGGTCATCTGATAAATGCTTTGTTGAAAGTGTTGCTACTATTTGAGAGAGAGCCAGAGAATTATGAACAAGATTTCTTCTGGTACTTGGCACCAAGCTGATATTAGTAGGCCCTTTAACTGCAATTTTCATGGTGGAGATTCCGCAGAGTGAACTTCGTTGGTTCAACATACCCCAAGTGATTAATTGGGATTGAGATCTAAGGGATTTGGTGGACAGCGAAATACCCAGGGAAGTCTTCATGTTCTTGACACAGTTTCCATCCAACTTATGCAGTAGCAAGGTGCATTGGTTTGCTGAAAGATGCCGCTATCATCGTGGAAAACATGCCATGAAGCGATGTACCGGGCCTTCAATGCGGAGATATATACACGGTAAAATAGCTTCCAGAGAACCCAATGATTTTTCCCTTCCACAGAATGTTGTCCAAATCGCCTTATCTAACGGCTTATCTCCATCAGTTTATTGGTTCCTCCTCGCCACCATTGTATCCTGATGCTATCACTTTCAAGATAATGACGCACACAACCCCTGTCATTTATCTTTTTCACGAGAAAGCGAGACTTATCAGAATAGGTGACATTCTATTGATACAAGAAGACACCCCCTCCGATACTTGTGTACCCATTTAAAGATTAGCATAGGTATAACTGGCCTGCGACTGCGCAATCACCTACTCAACAAGGATAGATGTTGTGTGTGTGTGTAGTGGGGATAGATTTTATGCAACATTGAATAAGTCGAACGTTCTCGTTCGAAATGAATTTTTATTTTCTTCAACCAAACACGTCTGGGTGGTTGGACATCATTACCTATTTTCTTCCCAATCGATTGAGCCATATTTATGAATATATTTTTGATTTTCATCTACATTGTCTTTTTCTTTTTTTAGTCACAAAAATTGGATTGGGATGAGAGATTTAATTGTCAAGAAAAGAATAAACGTTTTTCCCCAAACGCAATTTTTAATTTTATGAGTTAAAATGTCTTACAAAATATTTGATGATAGAATTAATGTTTTATTAAAAGTTAACCATTTATATAAATATTTATATTAAAAATATGCACCGTAAGGTTCTTTTTTCACTTGTTGATTCAGCTTAGAGAAAGCTAAAAAAAATTTAAGTGCTGAGCCAGTGAGCTTTGAAGGCAAGAAAAGCTTACGAAAGATTTGGGTTACTCGTTTAAATACAAATGCTTACTTATAAAAAGAATAACTGACACAACAGCCAAAGTGTAACATTGCACGTTTTATATATAAAAAAAGTATTACACGTTTAATTTTAAAGACAAAACAAAAAAACAAAAACAAAACGGGAAGAATTTAAAGAGAAACTCATCAATTACTTATTGAGAAAACATTACAGTCGGTCGAAGTTACAAACAATCATAAGAGAAGCAAAAATCACCGAAAACTGGAGTCCATACAAGTGTTATAAAAAAGGATTGTAAAAGACACCGTTAAACATCACCTTGTTGATAATACATATTAAAACCTTAAGCCCATTTGATCTTTCTAAATCTAAAAGAAGCAAGTTCAATCTCGTCACGAAACCTTACCGAACAATTTCGAAATGTTAGTAGTAAGTCAACAAATACAATTTATCGTCAGAGGCAGACAAAAAACTGTCTAGCCTGGAAATCCTTAAAAATAAAATAAATTACACTCGTAATTACAGAGTTATCTCTAATGACAGGTGAGAACATTGATTGTTGAGATATTATAGGAAAGTCGTTGTGATAGGATCGAATGCTTTTACCAAAGCGAATGGAAACTTTCATCTTTAGCCATAACAGATTTCTTTCCCTTAAAACAATCCGTAAACTATTTGTGAAATACGCTATGCAAACTATGCACAATGCTGATTTATCTACGTTAACAAATCCTTTCCATCCAAATATATCTTCAGACAATAATTTTATAATTGTGTGAGACAATTAAAAACTCAGTCATAAGAGTTATTAGGTTGAAGCCCAAACCCCATTAACAAGAATAGATTTCAAATGTTACGACTACAACTATTCTTCCTTTTACCTGAATATGTATGTTAATGAAAGAAATACCCTTTTTTGCTATAAACATCTATTTGGACCTGCCAAGTGGGTTAACCAGTTGCGTATTTACCAGTGGCGCCATTGAAAAGAGTTACCATTTTGAATAATGATTTGTAAAACAGACAGTCCCTCTTCACTTGGAAGAGGGGCGCAACACAATTCTCATTCTTCCGTTTCCACTTGTACCATACTAAGCTAATTCGAGAAAATATCATAAACATCTACTTATATTCCATTTAGCAGTCAATCATAAGATGTTTTTCTTTCGTCTTTACATCATGGTTTCTAAATAAGTACAAACCGACTAATTAAAAATCATTTGTTCTCTCACAAAATAGGAAAAACTAACTCTCTCTTCTCTCTCTCTCTCCCTACATTATATATATATATATATATATATATATATTTCTTTTAATATTTTCCTTAGAGCCTCTGTGGTTTTTCTGTCATTTTTCATGTAGACTTAAAAAAGATCTTGCAGCATTCTAAAAATGTATTATTGAAATAAAAACAGCAATTTGTGATATATGTAATTACACCACTGAAATAAAACTTGATATTCTGATCAGAGAAAGATTTTCTAACTCATTATCCAGATAACGTATTTCTCTACTCTTCAGTTTTAACAATTTTGGTAGTAACCATGTGGCGGTTAATAATGTTAACAGAATTGGGGTAAACATAAATGATTGGTTAATCCTCTTAACGTCTTAGACCAAACATAATGGACTCGACTGTAGTTTTATTGTCAGTACCGTTAGTAATGGAGTTATCCCAATTTAGAAATTAGTTTTCATTTAATAATTCCGATATTTTCAGGTACATACAAAGAAGAATATTTTTTTTGACGTGGTGTTCATTGCAAATATTGGAATAATTAAATAAATAAATGCAATGCCCATAGGGAGTTTTGGAGTGTTCAATGTCTTTTACAAAATCCAATTTAGAATCAAGTTTTCATCTACTGATAAGTTCGAGCTTTGTGTTATTCACTTCTAAATCCTTCATATTCACACGAGATTTTGACCTGGATTACAATGTAAAATTCAACGACTAAAAGATTCCAGAGACATGTCAAAAACACGCAAATAGAGGATCAAT